ATCTTATTCAGCTTTGTCCAACAGTAAAAACTGTTAATTGTACGTGGTCTTTGTTTTTTGGTTATATTTTAAACGAAATACCAGAGATTGCCATTCATTTGTTCTTTCAACCAATGTTTACATGGTGCCTTTTATATAGAGCAGTGGACAAATGGAACAGACTAGTATGTAATTTCATGCAACTTAGGATCTAGTGGGAGAAGGAAAACAAATATAGAAGATCTAACATGGGGTGAGAGATGCTAAAAAGAAACATAAAGAAGGAATGAAGCAGTGGGCATGCTGTTTTACACAAAGCAGTTGGAGAACCCCCCATGGAAGACTGACTATTGAATAGAGACCTGGAGGGTGGGATTTTGATGGGGGGGGGGGCAGAGCATGATAGCTAATATCTGGAGTGCATCTCAAGCAGAGGCCATGCTCAAGGTAAGGGTGCTGGGTGGGAAGATGCCTGGAGCACAGGCCCAGGTGGAGCAAGTGAAATAGTAGGTGGGATCAGAGACTTGTGAGTAGAGATGGAAGGACCCGTAGGGCATTGCCAGGACTTTGGGTTTTGCTCTGGGTGAGGGGAAGGGGAGGCCAGAGGACCCCAGCAGACGATGTGGAGCATCTGGCTTATGTTTTAGATGGTTGCTGGCTGCGGTGCTGAGACAAGGATGGAAACAGGTCTGGATGGCAGGGATAAGCTTGGTAGCAGTAGGAATGGGGAAGTGATTGGATTCTGCATATGTGTATTTTGGAGGTTAGTTTAGAGGAATTGGATATGGAGTGAACACAGAAGTTCAGAATAATTGTAAGGTTTGTGACTTGACTAGCTAGATAAAAGGACTTGCAATTTAATGAAATGGAAAAACAGGTTTATGTCCATATGATCACTGTGATGGTGTAGAAACTGTGAATTAGAGAACTTTTGTGCTCGAGTGTGAGTGTATCTGGAGGGGAGGTTGGAGAAAATAGTTAAGAAGGCTGCAAGTTGAATGTTCATTGAAAGTTTGGATATGCCCTTTTAGAAAGAGAGGACGGTACTCCTGGGGGCTATAGCCATAGAAGAATAAACCCATGGTCCGTGTTTGGAGATGATGGTGGTGGGGATGGCAGAGACACTAAAAATAAGATCAAGATTCCTTGGTAATTTGCCTTTACCTGTATTTTCATTCATTCATTCATTCATTCATTCATTCATTTTATTTATTTATTCATTCATTCAATTTATTTTTTGAGAGAGAGAGAGAGAGAGAGCACGAGTGGAGGAGGGGCAGAGAGAGAGAGAGGGAGAGAGACAATCCCAAGCAGGCTCTATGCTGTCAGCACAGAGCCCTACTCGGGAATCGATTGCACCAACTAGGAGATCATGATCTGAGCTGAAATCAAGATCGGATGCCTAACCAACTGAACCACTCAGGCACTCCTACCTGTACTTTTAATTCATTTTCACTGATGGTAGAAGCCATATTGTGACAGTGATGGGTTCTTCTCTTTTTCTCAGCCTGAGCATTGTAAACAGCCAACAGTGAATGGAGGTGATAAACTCAAAAACCACAGATGCGGAGTTCTGGTGATAAGCTTCTCAATAGGACTGAGAATTTTGGAAACTTTGCACTAAATGTGCATCAGACTTCTAGTAGTTGTATTATAGTTTCCGTACACCCTTTGTTCTCTAAGATGCTTCCATGCTTCCTGTGATAGACTGCTAGCAACAGAAGTTGTTGACATGTATGTGGTGTGTTTGGTCCCTATATGTCTGACTTCGACATTTAATGATATGCCACTGGACCTCTTCAAACTGTTTTGTGGTCCTTGGAACTGCAGGAGGATGAGAAAACTAAACTGGGAAGCTTTGGGCAAATGGGATCCACCACAAATCAATATTTGCTATTGGTGAATGAGGTAAGGTTGTGTTTCTGCAGAATGTGTCTTTGCAGGCTAGTTTGTGGCTAGCAGTGACTAGGTAAGTATGTGACAAGGGAAGAGGGCTATCTCTTGATAGGAATGCATTGTCTGCTTGGTGACAAAAATTAGAAGTCTGTGAAGCAGGCATGATAAGTTCAGGCTTCATTGTTTGGTTTAAAGACAAGCTCTGTCGTTAGCTGAGCTTCCTGTAGTATGAAGACGTGGGGAGTTTGGAAAAGTTGGAAAACATTAAACAGGAATCCTTTAAAGGGCTGTGTCTGAAGTGATAAGTTTGATGTCTACCATAAGCTCTAGGGTGTGATGAAATATTTGCCATTGGAGTATGAGTGTTTGAATCAGGACAAAAAATGAAAAAGAAATCGCAGGGTACAGTGGACCATTTTGAGAAGCTTTGACTAATTGTAGAAAGAACATTGAGCCCCTGACAAGCCAGCAAATTTGGAAAAATGATCTATTTAGAGAGAGCCCTGTTGGGATTGTGATTTGATGTGAAGAAGGAAATGGGATCCTGGAACATGGTGCTACGCTTACAGGTTTTTCTTCTTAGACTGTGTTTGAAACGTTGACAGCCCTCACAGTTCACTGACTCCATTTTCCCAGATTTAAAATAATATTCCCCTCTTGAGGTTGCGGTTCTGATTAGAAATGCCGGGTTATGGACTAATAGCTCATGGCTATATATGTGATGAAATAGATTTTCTTTTTTGTTTGTTTTCTTTTACTTTTTTCTTGATTTCCTTCCTCGCCTGCATTTGTTTCATCTTCTAGGGCTTTGTTTGGAAATATGTAAGGAAATCACATAATTCTTACTTAGGAATTATCTTCCTTCTTATTTTTCCACCCTCTGTTAACTTGTGATAAAACACTCTTCCCTAGAGAGAGTAATTGTAATTCTGCAAGCTGAAAAATTTAACTTCAGGTGAAAAAGAAGGAGCAGAAGTTGATGAACCCTTAAACAATAAATATTTGTATTTGATGCAGCTGCCACTAGTAATTGGGAGAAAATAACTAAGTGGAATGGACTCTAAGTCACTCAGATGCTCTCAGGGGTTCTGGATGCATTTACGGGATCCAGTAGCTGGCTATTGGGGAACGTTGTGTTGAATGTCTGTGACACATTGCCACCTTGTGGCTGCAAGCTTTCTTTTTAAGGCAGAAGCAAATTCCTAGTATTGAGTCCACATGGTAGAATCTTATTTTATATTTTCCCTACTATTTATAATTCAAGGTGATAACGAAAGATTTGAGACACTTAAAAGGATACCTGTAATACAGGGTAGGAGAATTGAAGAGAATGTCCTTGTTCTCAGAAGAGGCATATTGAAGTTTTGGGGGGTGAAGATCCATAATGCGTGCAACTCTCCACTGTGTGGGGGTGGGAGAAGACAGAAGAAGAGAGAGCAAAGGTAGTATGGCAAAAGGTGGTAAAGGGAATACGGGTGCTCACTGTCATTGCCAAGAAAAAAGAAAAAAGAAAAAAAAAACAGAGTAAAGGCATAAAATGGAGCCATGAAGGAGACAAAAATAACTTCTACATTGTATAATGATCAGACCACATTTGAACCACTGATTGCTTTCTGCATTTTCCAGTAGCTGATGTGTCACTGTCCAGGGTTCTCTTGCTCCAATTTTGTGTCCATAAGGTTTGAGGCCAGAGTATCTAAAATTCGATCCAAACCTTCTTAGAGGCTGTCCTAAGTAGAATGCTGTTGTAATGAACAGCAGACTCAACAAATAGCTTCCAAAAGTACAATCTGGGATCTTTTCCCTACTGATCTGCTTTGATCCTGGAGTGGAGGCACTGCTAGTTTTTCGAGGACCTCTCACAATAATACTAAGTGGCCATGAAATACAGTAAGAAATTGACCAGCATTGAGTTTGAGGTGGTTACTTACTGACAAGTGCTTGAAGCCCAGGTCTGTTCTACCCCACTGCACTTGGGAGGAGTTACTCATAGGCAGGGTTAAATTTCTTTTTGTGCCATCGTTTTGAGTATGCTGCACCACGTAGGCAAAATAGATCCATGATAGTGCTAATCTGCAAAAATTCAGACAGATATAACCAGATAGCTGTTTCTCTACCCATGAACACAAAGCAAAGCAAATCTCAGTGAAGCATCCCTAAAAATGCTCAGATTTGAGCAGCGCTACTGAAGTCTTGTCTGAATTTAAATTTCTACAAAGTTTTTTTTCTGTGGCATTTGGAATTTCCACGAATACCTTTTGTACTCCTTTCTTGTTCTTAATAACCATCTGGATAGATGTATATGCAAATGAGTATTTTTGTCCTCAGTAACCATCTATATATATATATGTATATGTATATATATATTGCATATATACTCTGAAGGTGAACATTTTAGAAGATGTGGCCCTATTCAAGTTTGAAAGGTTTTCTTAGAAAAGGAGGACAGATCTTGAAATAAGTGTTGTGACACAAGGGATTCTTTTTGTAGAAAGCTGTCTCTTGAAGTGATTTTAGTTTCTCTGATTCTTGTGACAGGTTTTCTTTTAAAAGGCTATAAAGTGATATAGGGATGTATTGATTTGCATTAAGGGATGTGGTGCTGAGAAATTTCCCTTCCCTGCATGTATCTGTGAGCACCAGAAGTCTGTGGATTTTCTTTTGTGAACTACTAAAGAAGTGATCTATTGATTCTCTTTAGAACAATACTACTCATTTTTTAGAGACATCATGGCCCACAGAACGACATATACCTTATACAGTGAGTAAGGACACACACATACAAGTATAACTTAATCAGGCGATTCATGAAACTGTGATTTTCCTTTGTTGGACTCTAACAACTTCTGCTACATTTAAACGAATCCTGGTTAGATCTACTAAATTTGGTTTCATGACCCACTAATTTGTTGGGACCCGCACTTTAAACGTCACTGCTGTTGAGATTTTGCGGTACGCCAGAATGTGCTCCAGATGTAGCACACAACAGTGAAACCCTGCATTCTCTAAAGTAACCACAATAAGAACAGGCTTGGGAGAGAGGGATTTGGAGAAGGATAAGCAAGGGGGCTGGTGGGTGTTGAGAGTGTCCTCAGCCTGTGATGCCCCTGTGTTTGTCTCTACAGCTTGACCACATACTGTCACCTCCGCCCATGCCGTTTCGGAAATGCAGCACCCCGGATGTGACTTCTGGTCCTGCAAAGTCACTGAAGTTTAAAAGACAGCTGAGTGAGGACGGGCGAGAGCTGAGGCGGGGAAGCCTGGGAGGAGCTCTCACAGGTGAGTCCTGAATGACTGACGCGCAAGAGGAGGAATTGCCTTGACTCACTGGCGGGTCCTCCCAGGTGGTGTGAAAATTGGCCTGCTTTGGAATGGGCCTGGCCCTCTGCAGACCCTTTGGTGAAATCTAATGCAATCCAGAGAGCACTAAAATTGAGAATTTTATTGTTTCAAATTTTTATTTAAATTCCACTTAGGTAACAAACAGTGTACTCCTGGTGTCAGGCATAGAATTCAGGGGTTCATCACTAATTTACTCCAGTCCTCATCCTAACAAGCTAAGTGGGTGATGGGTCTTAAGGAGGGCACGTGTTCTGAAATTGAGGATTTTACTGAGAAAGTTGACATACAACAGAAGGTACCTGCTAAAGCAGGTGTGTGTACAGATTTTGGCAAATTTACTTACTTTTTTATTTTTTTTTTATTTTTTTAATTTTTTTTTTAAATTTTCTTTTCAACGTTTATTTATTTTTGGGACAGAGAGAGACAGAGCATGAACAGGGGAGGGGCAGAGAGAGAGGGAGACACAGAATCGGAAACAGGCTCCAGGCTCTGAGCCATCAGCCCAGAGCCTGACATGGGGCTCGAACTCACGGACCGCGAGATCGTGACCTGGCTGAAGTCAGACGCTTAACCGACTGCGCCACCCAGGCGCCCCTACTTACTTTTTTAAATGTTTATATATTTTGAGAGAGAGAGAGCAGGGGAGGGGCAGAGAGAGAGAGAGAGAGGGAGACCTCTGCAGGTCTCTTCTCTGTCACCGCAGAGCACCATGTGGGGCTTGATCTCACCAACTGTGAGATTATGGCCTCAGCCAAAATCAAGACTTGACTGACGAAGCCAGCCAGGTGCCCCAATTCGGCAAATTTTATACACCAGCATAGCTACCACCACAGTCGAGATATAAAACCTTTCCTGTGCCCTGTTTTTGTCTTACCTGCTCTCATCCCTCATTTCTTGGCCCCAGGCGACCAGCGATCTGCTTTTCCTCACTGCAGATTCGATATACCTCGAGAATTTAACATTAATAGAATCAAACGGTACATGTTCTTTTGTGTCAGGCTTCTTTTGCTCAGTATGTTTTTAAGATTCATCTGTGTTGGTGCATGCATCAGTAGTGTATATTGAACTTTATAAGGAACTGCCAAACTGTTTCCAAAATTGTACCGTTTTACATTCCCACCAGCGACAGATGAGCAATCTAATTGCTCTGCATTCTTGCCAACTTGTGGTATTGCCAGGTATTGAGTTGTTTTTTGATTTTAGTCATTTTAATGGATAGATAGTCATATCACATCAGGGATTTATTTTGTATGTTCTTGATGACTTAAGTGGTGTTGAACATCTTTGCATGTGCTTATTGGACGTTCGTTTATCATTTGTGAAATGTCTTCACAGCTTTCATCCTTTTATTTTCCTTCTCACCCATTTTTCAATCATGTTGTTAAATTTAATTTAAACATTTTTGAATACAGAGAAAACACAAATCACTTGTATTGACTTGAAACATAGCCAGCCTAAGATAATTTAAAGTGCTTTGAAGTAACTCACCATATAAATTTTTCATATTACTCACCTTTAAATCACTGAAGGTTATTTCTTTTTCTTTCTGAGTGCTTTTTTCTGTGAATATAAATATCTTTGGACAAACTGGTTTTTATTTTATTATTCTTTATATGTTTGTTTTTGAGAGAGAGCATGCACATGTGGAGGAGGGGCAGAGCAAGAGGGAGAGAGAGAATCCCAAGCAGGCTCCACACTGTCAGCACAGAGCCCGATGTGGGGCTCAGTCTCACAAACCGTGAGATCATGACCTGTGCTGAAATCAAAAATTGGACACTTAAGCAACTGAGCCACCCAGGGGCCCAAGAAACAGATTATTAAGTCCCAAAGCAGAGTTTTCTCTGTATATGACAAGTTTTCTCTGCCAGTTCCTAAATGGTCTGAAAAGTAAGTTGAGTTATTCACATTTTTTGGAGAATCCTGGATTTTGACTTCTGAGAGATAAATTTCTGGTAACACCAAGGATTCTGTCATAGGCTCAGTAGACTTTAGAACATTTGACGCATTGTGGCATACTGCAGGGTGAAATTGACCTCAGGCCAAGGGGAAGAAATTCACCAAAGACTGCTTCACTTCACTAAGTTTAGGCAAATGTTCATACTTGAGTTATACTGATATTCTTTGAACGCTTGTGAGGATATTTTTCTTTGCTTTCCTTTACAGATTGAGACTATTTGCTTTTTTAAGCGGGAGATCCTAAACATTGTTTAGTCCAACCCTTTTTTGTAAGAGGAGAAATTAAATCTTAATGGTTAAAAGACTCATCCCTTTCCTTACTCATTTCACTTAGGAAGTTTACTTACTTTGGTTATACTATTTTTGACCAAAAGGAGGGGCAGTAATGATTCTCTCCAATTTTTGCTAGAGGAGTACACTTAAAGCTTTAAAACAATGCAGAGGTATAGCTCTTGATGCAGATAAATGACCTGAGTCATGAAATTTGGCCTACAGCTTAAAAAAAAAAATCTGAAGTTGATTCCCATTTCATAATCTCAATAGCTCTAGCAATCCTACTCTTAAAAATTTAGTGTGCTATATATACAGTTTATTTTATTTTATTTTATTTTAGTTTAGTTTAGTTTAGTTTAGTTTAGTTTTTATTTATTTTTGAGACAGAGAGAGACAGAGCATGAACGGGGGAGGGTCAGAGAGAGGGAGACACAGAATCTGAAACAGGCTCCAGGCTCTGAGCTGTCAGCACAGAGCCTGACGCAGGGCTCGAACTCACTGACCGTGAGATCATGACCTGAGCCGAAGTCGGTCGCTTAACCAACTGAGCCACACAGGCGCCCCTATTTTATTTTTTTATATACACCTTTACATTTTTATATATACTCCTATATGATTAAATGTCAGGTTATGTAATTTTCAAAAATGTTTATTAGCCCTTGAGAGAGAGAGAGAGAGAGAGCGCTTAAAAGAATCTCATGAATGTCAGTTTTTAAAAACAGTTTCTTGTAAGTTTGAGTAGAATATGAAGAAAACATTCTAATTGGTCCTCTAAATAGCTTAGCTAAGGATTTGATGAAAGAATTTATGCCAAGCCCTTAGCCCAGCCATGGGTGGCTATGAATATTATGTGCAGCATGGATTGAATTTGGGGTGTTTGCACTTGGTGGGGAACTTGGGCTTCTGAACATCAGTTTGGATCCTTTATCCATTGAGTTTCCATCTGTCTCAGGCACTGTGCCAGTATTGGGTTGCAGTAGAAAGAAAACATCATTTCTGATCTTGAAGAAAGAGTTTCTACTAGTAATAGGCACCTGTGAATTATCACATGTGATCTTACCTTGGGATATACTTGTTGCTAAACTTAATTAAGTCAAAGTAACTGGTTTTGCCATCAGAAATCTGTACCTGATATATTTTGTAACATCAAGACCAGCCATCTTCATATTGCTTAGCTTTGTTTTAATCTTAAAGACTCTTTTCTTTGGCAATTTTTTACTGCTTTCTTTAAACAAAGATTCTGTGAAGGCTTATAGCTTAAAATTTTTGCCACTCAGTTATCCTTGATAAGTTTCATTGAACTCTGCTTTTTGAGGGGAAGATCTATGATGTTTTCATCTAGTTGTCACTAATAATAATGAGAGCTAACCTTGAGAGCTTGCTATGTAGCATGCATTGTTTTTAGGGAATTATATTTATTGCCTTAATTTTTTCTTAAACATCTTTATCCCCCTATGAGGGGCAGTCTTATCCCCATGTTACAGATGAAAAAACTGAGGAACAAATAGTTTGACTGAATTGCACAAGATCATGGTGTTCACAAACAGCAGAGCCAAGATTTGAGCCTGAGCATTGTGGCTCCGAAGTCCATTCTTGTAAATACTGCACTGTTCGTAATGCAGAGGTACCCGTAGGTTTCTAGTAAACTCCAGCAGGGTTAATTGGAGTGAATGCTAGGGGGGAAAATCTTTGCTCATTTGGAATCCAGGGCTGACTCAATCTATAGGGATCCTGGTCCCTTAATTGCAAAAGTAAATTAAAACTATACAATTAATAATTAAACAATTACACATTTGTTAACCCAGCCATTCTATGTCTCCCATTTCATCACAAGGAAATAGTTGTGAATGGGTGCAGAGAAATAACAATAGTGATATTTAGATCAGCATCATTTATTAGAATTAAAATTGCTTATCATCTAACTACCTGGCAAAAGATATTGGCTAAACGTATTATAGTATACACATAAAATAGTAATTGTAAACATTAAATATCATGTAGTAAAAGAATATGTTGTAACATTGACATAGTTTCCCAATATGTTTTTAATATGAAATTCCATTGTTCAGTGGTCTCATGGCCTTGATTGCTTCCTAGGTTTTGCTATAAATGTAAGGAAATAATTGTATATATAACAAGGGGGAGGAAGACAGTTCCTGGGATGGTTGTTGACTGGGTTCCCTTTAAAAATGGGCACGTGAAGGATGTTATGGCCTTCTTTTACACCCTGCAGTTCTATCCATGAGACACGTTTTGCCACTGAGATTTCCTGAGGCATTAAGTGGTTTATCAGTTGGTGACAATATTGTATAACTACAAACTTTCATTGGCAGACAAGTATTTCTTATTTACATGGTTGCAGGTCAGCTGGGTTTTGGATCATTTTATCTGGGCTCTGCTAGGATTGGGTCTAAGATGCTATTTGAGTCCGGATTTGCACAATGTGTCTGTCTTCTTTCTTGGACCAGCAGCTAGGCAAGGCATCATATTCTGGTAAAAGACAGGAGCATGAGAGTGCATATCCACCAGCTCAGGCATGCTTCAAGCCTCTGGGGACATCATGTCTTCTAATTTTGTATTGGCCAAAGCAAGTCACATGGTCAAGCCCAGAGTTAAGGGGTAGAAACATGTTCTACCCACATGGTATCTAGGCCAAGATGCAGATATATAACACTAATGCAGGGTAGGAAAGAATTGGGACCAATAAT